CCATTTGGAATATTCAAATGAATGCTATACAAATGGGTTTGAATTGATCCTTTCAATGTTATCTTTCGATTTGCCTGCCATGTGCGTATCTTGAGTGCGGCAGATATTAGGTTACCTCTACCATCACATACAATACAGTAACGACTCAATACATACATAACAGCTGAACGAAGATTTCCAAAACATCACCTTCACGGTGATAGATGATGACTTGCTTATGGACGATAAGGTTGGATCAGTCAACTTTAACATAGAATCGCACAAACTGTTGCAAGGGCAGACGCATGAGGGCTGGTTCCCGTTGGATGGGGATGCACGCAATGGTAAGGAAAGTGCGTGTATGAATAGTATAGTAGTATGTGTGCGTTTACATGCCTCGTCGGATTATATAAACCTTTCGCAATCCCTCTCCTATGATCTAGAAATGCTTGGCAAAGAAATGTTTTGATTTTTGTGCCCTCTTCAAATACACGCACAGGTCCAATCGAATCCGCATATGCAGACATGTCACTATTCACGTATACTTTCTTTCATGCGGGTGTGTTTTGTTTGAGCGTATATGGACACAACCTAGACCCAAAACTCACACATAGATCCGCCAAAACGCGCACTTTTGCACAGACTATATAGTGCATATTCACGGTTCATTCACTTTTGTGGTTTAAAATAGTACAAGATATATCCCATCACACCAGTAGAAACATAACACCTCACTGCACCTGAAGATCGACCTGACACTGGCCCCAACAATTTCCACCTAGTCCCGTACACACCCGTGCACACACACTTCGCGTGTATACGTTAGTATATACTACGGTCACATATTACAAGTTGATAGGGTGGCGTGTCTATAATGTAGATTATTCTTCAGTGCGAACCTTTATGTACTATACTTATATCCTGCACGTAGGCGAAATTTACCTGACACTGGCCTTCCGCGTGGCTGGCAGCGAGATCGATGTACCGAACTGTTACTTCGATGTACGCGAGAACTCCAAATGCACACTGTATCAAGATGCGCACCATGATGACGGCGACCTACCTACGCTGGTGAAGGCCAACGGAGAGGAATACGAGCACGGAAAGTGCTGGAGTGATCTGTACACAACCGTACAAGAGGCTGAACATTTCATTTATATTACGGTGGGTCATGCGTGCTGTTGAGGGTTGGTTCCGTAAATGTGCTGTTGTAGTGATAGTACCACATCACTCATATTGCTGTGTCCCAGAGTGCTGTTAGTGCTTGTATACGCGAGGGTGCTGCTTAGGTAGTACCACGTCGTCTACGCCATGTTAGGTGTTGGTTTGTTCATGTGTAGCTGCGGTAGCATCATTGATTTTGTGCTGGTGCAATCTTGCTGTGCTTGTGGCTGTTGGTATTACATGGCTTAAGTATTTTTTTTTAATTTAGTGGGACAATGGGAGAGTCCTTTTAATCTATATAATAGGACAATGAGAGAGTCCTTTTAATCTATATAGTAGAACAATGGGAGAGTCCTTTTAATCTATATAGTAGGACAATTGGAGAGTCCTTTTAATCTGCATAGTAAGACAATGAGTGAGTTATTTGATTCTATCACCCGCACACACCTACTCATCCCACGCGCCTAAATAAGTAAGCCTGATGCAAACACACTGAACTATACGCATACACTCACGGTTGCGTACAACCATAGGAACGGCCAGAATGGATTTACAGGTAGTACTGTCTCTGCTAGGCTTAGGCGAACTATCTCGTCAGCAACCGCTCACAACCGCGTCACCAAAAACTTTCATCTATAGCTATCCCGTATACGCGCTTCTAATTAAAAGCACGCGTTTACAATGGCGTACATAAATACAGGGATGGGCGGTGTGGATCAACACGGTACTGTGTCGTGGAGAGGGTGATGATTCCACCAGCTTGGGCCAACTTTTACGACAGAAGGCGGCTCAAGGCGTAAAGATTTGTCTGTTGGTTTGGAATGAGAAGACCACTTTGCAGAAAGGAGAGTTTGTGCTGAACGGGATGATGGGCACACACGATGAGGACGTATGTGCTCCCACTCCAAACGTGTCTCTGTACATGTTGTGTATTGTATCTACCTGTATTTCGTTGTCAGTCCTTGTTTGTACTCAGTTCACGATTAAATATAGTATCATATATTTGCCTACGTGTTATGTATAGCATGTACCTGTATTTCAGTGCTTGACCAGGTCCGTATATAGCACCACCACAAAGGCATGTGCTTGAATTTATCTGCAACCCAGAACACAATCATGATAGTCTAACTGACGATCGTTTAGGTGCTGAAAACTGCTGCGCACTATATGTTACATATATATCTGCTTGCAATGCTTGCATATGTATATATATATGTATATATATATATATATATATATATATATATGTGTGTGTGTGTGTGGAGTTTATCTGTAAATGGTAATATCCGTGTATAGTGCGTATTTTTTTTATAGCTTTTGAACTACAATGGCGTTTTCTTGTTTGTATGAATGATGGATGAGCATGACGCAGAAATGCAGAAAAATCAATCGACTCACATTTCTGCAGAAATGCAGAAATACCGATCGACTCACATTTCTGCAGAAATGTTTTGTGTTTCTTCTGATGTGAATCAAAACAGGGGAATTTAGAATTAGCTATCCATACGACGTACAAAGTAAGCCCCCACCCACCAGCACTGTAAATTCGCGTGTTGTTTGCGAGGTAGTCCGAGGGTGTGTGTGCACGCAACCAACAGCTTGGCTATATCAACGCATTTGAAGGTATCACATAGAATCCCATTCAGGCTTGATTTCGTGGATCTGTTCGAATATCGTACACCAATACCGACCTGGCAACACAGCAGACATGGGTGGTTCGGATGAGGTGAAGCAGATCGAGGTCTTCGAGAACATCAAGTGTGAGCTACTAACACACTGCGTGCCCTAGGGAACAACTGCGCGCTTTGTTTTTACGTACCATTGAAAACTTGTTGATGGTGTATCCCATTTACATTCATTCGTCAATGTGTTGTTACATACATCTCCTCATATCACACAATGCTACTAGATTAAACTATACCACAGACGCGACTGTTTTTGTAAAAGACTTTGGGGCCTACGAGTATACCAAGTGCAAGCCAGCCACCTGCTACGCATCTCGGAAAGCGCACGCATACCTTGTTGTATTTTGCGCGCCACAAAAATTCAATCAATACGATACAAATATTCACGGATGTGTGTGAAATAAAGGTGTGCAGGTTCTGACGTCTGACACACAATCATATGACATCCCTCCCACACCGCAGACGCGCGTGTTTTTTGAGGAGGAGTTCGAGGGCTACAAGAATGTCAAGTGCAAGCTAGCCACACGCTACGCATCTCAGGGTGCGCTGACACAGTTTGTGTTCACTCATCACCAGAAGTCGGTGATATGTGACAGTCCCTGTGCCGAATATCCCGACAGAAAGCGCACTGTGGCGTTTATGGGTGGTATAGATCTGTGCGATGGTAGGTACGACACACCCAAGCATCCCATTTATAGAACACTGCAGAGCATACACAAAGACGACTACCACCAGGTCTGGCCGGGCATTACACAGGAACATGGGCCAAGGCAACGTAAGTGTGCAGTGTGTGTTAAATTGGGGTGGAGGTGAGTAGTACGGGTCTGAGGGCTTTGCTTGTCATTTGCCGCCCCCCAATCAGTCTAAGAACAGATTCATGTGCATTGTATCACAAAAATGTGCACAATCAATCCGACGACCTAGTACCTAAACTCGAGAAGATACCCCATAGTTTAATTCTAGATATATATGGGGAGTATGCATTCTCATAGCCTGGTTGTGAGCAGTATGCATATGCTCGTGTATGTGATTGTAGCTGTAATAGCTATACTTCTTTTTACACCTATGCTCAAATCGCTCAAAAGAATGCATACAGCTGCACATTTAAATGATTTTTGTGGGTTCTTTCATCGCACAGCGTGGCACGATATACACAGCAAAGTAGAGGGCCCTGCAGCCCTGATGGTCAAGACAAACTTTGTAGATCGATGGTATGGACATCTATCTCGACACTAGGATTCGTGTCTTCGGGGTTTTATATCTAGGCTAATATGTGGCCTCAAAGTGTTACGGCTGAATCTATCTTATGCCCCTGCTGTACTGCTTGTATCGAGCATGGTGTAGTTGCTATATCTAGTTGGTATATTCCCGTAGCGTTTGAAACGTATGTTCATCTTTGCACGTGTACAAGCAAGGAGTCATATGTGTTCAATGTGTAAATATCTGACCTGAAACATGTGCAAGGAGGGGTCTGTATTGATATACTTACATCGGCCAACAATACTACAGCCTTTGTGCAATTGAATGTCACCACCTACAAGTTCGATACTGACAGTTTTTATGCACGATTTTTTATTCAGGCACGAACAAGGCAGTAAATACCTGGCATTTCTCAAGGTGGGTATCTAGTCTTGTGTGTATATATGTATTTGTAGACGTATCCATACACAGACAGACGTCTGTATGAACTCTTAGAATTGAAAGTTGCGGTGGTTGTATTTATGGTTATGAAGCACACGATCTATCTACAAAAACTCAACGTCTGTACACAATCCATTTGTGTGAGATACTGATATATATATATTACTATATATATATATATATATATATATATATATATATATATATATATATGTGTGTGTGTGTATGTATGTATGTATGTATTTATATGTATATATGTATATATGTGTATATATATAGGTTTTACACACTTCGATCTGGACTTATCAATTCTCTTTGTTTGCGTGTGATTAGGTATGGAGAGACGACGATGGGCCCATGTTATCAGAAGAAGAGGAGGGCACACTTTACGCAGAGGATCCGGAGAGATGGTCAGCTCAACTTTTCAGGAGCATTGATGGCAGCAGTGCTCGTTTCCCCAACCTGAGTTTTGCCGAGCAGTTACAGGAACAGTTACAAGAGATTGGCAAGCACCATGTAGAGAATAGCATCCATACAGGTGAGGTTTTAGTACATTTGTGTGTGTGTTTTGTATTTGCAATGGTGTGTGTGTGTGAGTACGTGTATGTTCGTAGTAGTCATACACGTGTGCTTGTTTGTATACATGCATACATGAGCTTGAACGGTATCAATAGTAGAAGACAATATCATGGCCTGAGCTGCATTGAAATTAATAAGGTGCTATGGCCCGGAGATTATCGGATGTCACTTAGATTCTAAATTAGCATATCTGTACCTGTATACGTGTCGGAAATTGGGCTATATCTGTGTGTACAGGGAGGAAATTGTTCTTCTAAAAGCCATGTGATCTGCTGTTCTCATCTCGACAGCAAGCACATCCCTATATTCTATCAATTTGTTCTGTGTATTCTTTTGCATCAAATAGGAAGGTGGCTTCATAATAATGTACCGTAGCATATCAAATCTCAATCGACTGCGCACTATAGATTGATGTATCTACATAGTCGACTTGTACCATAGATTCGTATACCCACGGTGTACCTGTTTATGGTTATGGATCGAAGTGTTTCCGTGCTGGAATTGTCGTTTAGTTGCTTTCCAGTTCTCAATCACTTACGTACCGTAATATCATACAGCCATGGTACACCACATAAGGCGTGCTGAGCGGTTCATATACATTGAGAATCAGTACTTCATTGGCTCCGCTCCACACTGGAATGAGCAACAGAATTCAGGTGCGATAAATCAGGTCCCGGCCGAACTTGCGATTAAAATCTGCCAAAAAATCGCGGCCGGCGAACGCTTTGCAGTGTATATCCTCATTCCCCTGTTTTGTGAAGGGTGGCCAGAGGAAGCGGCACCCAATGAAATCATGTTTTATCAGGTAAGAAACGTTTCTGTTCTGTATAGTATATGAACCTGTACACATTGATATCCATCTACACATTGATATCAATCTACACATTGATGTCCAATGCTGTATACCGCTATTAAATAAAGTGATCCGTCAGAAAGTTACGAAGATAGATCCGTGGACCAGGAAGTCTGGCTTTGGCATATAAGTGTATTGTTTGCGGTGCAAAGGTGTAGACGCTGTGAGGGCACAATATTCGACTCGCCAATTCATTACCGCTCTTTTTTTTGGCTTGTTTGTGATTCCAGTAGAATAGGGATTTATGTACTGAGAAGTGTGTACTGGTCAAATTGAGGTCAAATACCATTGTTCATTATAACAATGCGATATGTTTTGGGCATTAGTTGTCTACAGAGTCTGAGTGTCGTTTATGTTTTCTGTGATCAGATTGACCGTCAAAGGCTAAGTTGCTATCACGAGCAGGTATCAAGTCCAAGCTATGTATAGTCATTTGTGTTATTTTCTATGTCAGCACGACTACAACACATGCGTAAACCACTCGTCACTACAGTGATACTTCTCTATACATAAACCTACCTATGAATTTACTCTCACGAACATACACAGTAGTAAATACTACATACACATACTTTAGTATACACAGGTCAGCTTAACTAACACTGCCCACATCACAATATCTACGGCACTCTAGTTTTTGACGTTCGAGTTCATGTACAAATGGATTGGTGAGGCTATTCAACGCGCAGGCAGTGACGCACACCCCAAGGACTACTTAAACGTCTTCTGCCTGGGCTGTAGAGAAACAGGTATGTGCAGATAGTGTGCTATGGTTTTACGTTTGCACTTAGTCGCAACCACAAACGTCTCAGAGTAGTACGCAGAGATGAGGTGCGAAGGGCTGGTCCCATGCAAAAGCGTGTGGGTCAGTGGGTAGAACAGCGAATGTATATGCTTACCCATTCTACGGTTTACGGTAGTCCCTATATACCCATGCACATCTGTGCAATGGAACAGCGAATGTATATGCTTATCCTTTTTTACGGTATACGGTAGTCGATATATACCCATGCATATCTGTGCGGTAGAACAGCGAATGTATATGCTTCTCCTTTTTACGGTATACGGTAGTCGATATATACCGATGTATATCTGTGCGGTAGAGCAGCGAATGTATATTCTTATCCTTTTTCGGTATACGGTAGTCGATATATACCCATGCATATCTGTGCATAAATTGATCAGACGGATCGCATGCTATGCCCTGCTCCCCAATATCGCCCGCTGTGACCTACCTGGTTGTGCATATACCCATTTTGTTTTTGTTGTGTCCTTTACTATATAATCTTTATTTCTATGTGCAGCTTATCTATCTGGAATTTTAATTGTGTGCACGTAATGTATATAACAGTTATACTTTCCTGCACATTGTTCTTGTATACATAACTTAGTTATGCTATCTACGCTTGCGTATGATATGTGTCGTAGTTGCGCAAACATCCATTCACAGCTTATATACGTGTATATATATTTCGACATTTACAATCATTGCATAATCTGTTGTCTGCTAGCGCGGCTGTGCTCGTTGTGGTGTTTCGATGGCCTCACGTTGTGTGATATCCCGAAATCACAAGGTTGTTGTTTGTCCGTGCATGTCTACTAATAATAATCTCAAGCCAGGAGGCCCTTACTAATACGTGCACATCAGATTTGTACTTTTTTTGACTATCGTCTCACTTTGCTGCGTATGAATGCATGAATATGTATGTACATGTTTGTACTTGCGTTTAAATGTGTCTACCTGCACTTGTGTATGTACGTATACGTGTATTTATACATCCACTTCCCTTTGTTCCTGTTCTGTGCCTATGCGTCCATACAGAAGAAGGCTCTGATCACACGGCAGATCTAAGGAGCTGTCCGCCCGCGAGCCTCCAGGCAAAAATCAACGCATCTCGACGGTACATGGCGTATGTACACTCTAAGATGATGATTGTTGATGATGAATACGTCATGGTTGGATCGGCAAACATCAATGAGGTGTGTTCGCTGACGTGTGGTGTTCGGCCACTTCTATCGGCTGTGAAACTCAATCCGCCTACATATGTATGTGTGTATAGACGTGTACATCTGTGTCAGGAACGAACCGATTTTTTATTGGTCCCGGTAGATATACAGCGAAAGGTTGTATTTGCACAAGTAACAAGACGATACTTATCACCATTCTTACGACGCAATTTTGTGACATATAACTGAAAATAGTTAGTATACTGTGTCGTGGATACTATACTTCCTGTATATGATATAGTTTCGTGGCCCAGGACAACATGATACTTTGCCCTGCTATGTACTATATTGCCTCTCCCCATTCTGATATGGTGCAGGAACTAGAGCATTACAATAATAAGCGATTCACATAATTCAGTATATCTCAAGTTATTCGACATCATGCCGCCTGGCCATGCAGACCCAATTCATTGTCTACCATTATTTATCTTCGAATTAATAGCACCCATGGGGTGTCCTCACGACTGAAAGTGATATGTATTGTAACTGGTTGATACTACTTTGTGGTGTTGTTTAGAGCTTCAACTCCCTCGAAGATCTTGCTCACATTTCACCACTCTTCTTTTGTATCTGTGTCTACTGTACCATCGCAGCGCTCCCTGGCTGGTGATCGAGATACCGAGCTGTGCATGGGTAAGCATATGTGTTCTATATATTATGTGTATTCTTGAAGCTGGGTACTGTATCTTCAGAAGATCAACGTGTTCTGTGGCGTTGTCATGCTGTCTGCTCCGGATTTGGGCTTTGTATTAGGTAGTGTTCAAGCTGTGAATTACACGCACGGGATGTAAAGTCCGATAGCTTGGGCCCACGTTGTGCCTTGTTTGTGCAAATTTCAATCTGCACTACCGGAGTGTGAATGCCAACCAATATTGAGTTTTCACTATGTGACGGTACTGTCATACTATCGTATGCCAATATCACGAACTATTTGGTGGAAAGTGTAGATACATGTCCGGGTGCAGACTCCTAGTTCAAGCACTTTTGTGTTGTAGGAACGCTGCGACGTCAAAATGTACCTTACACGTATTCAATTTCAATACAAATCCATCCGGATAAAACTCAACAATTCAGGGTTTAAATAGTTGTTGGGGAAGATAACTTGCCAATTGTGATAGCCACCCCTAACCCCAAGTCCTCAACTTCTTCCGTTGGTAGGTATGTATCAACCTAACTACCGGAGGGAAGAGAACAATGAGTTACCCAAAGGCGACGTGGCGTGCTTCCGCAAAGCACTCTGGTGCGAACACGCGAGCTCCGTCGCAGACGAGAGCGATGTGTTAGACCAGCCAGACTCCATGGAGTGTGTGAAGATGATGCGGGTGAGTTCGTTGGCATTTACGGGTGTGATTGTACTGTGTCGCACTGACAGTGGTTGTTTATTGGTGTATATGTGTAGTTTGGTGTGGAACCGTGGAAGTTTCTGTTCGTACTGTGATAGCAAATGTAGGCGTGTATATTTAGTATCTAGTTTACACATATTCTGGTTGCGTGGAAATTTTACTCTTTTTTCAATATGATGAACCCACATATGTATTAATAGCGATGAGAACGAACACTATATCTGAATCGAGCATCGTCAGCTTGTGATTGCTAGTGATGGCTTCGTGAGCAGTATATTCCATGTGCGGTAACCCGTAGTAATGGTCAAAATATAGCTCGGTCTTTGTTCTGTACATTGGGTACATTGGGTCTACGGTACAATAGATTTTTATGGAGATTGCGTGAGTGACATGTATCTGTCATTGAGTTGCGTCTACAGCTATTCTTAACTTCGAATCTTCTAGTTTTAGGAGTTTTAGGCCTCGCTTATGCCATATTTTTGCTTCGGAGTTGGAAATGGTATACAAAAAAGGTTTATTCAGTCTATCCATTCCAGAGGAAGTGAATGAGATCGTGATGATAGATAAGAAGTTCTCCAACAATTCCAGTATGATAAATTGACGACATCGCAAAGCATTCGAATTTGCACTTTTGTTACTTTGGCATTGCTCGCCTCGATCGTATCTTGCGAAAGCTTAGAATAGCAAACCAGATTTTATTCTTGGCATATTCTTCCAGAAAATACTAGCGTGTATTCGTCTGTATGAATCGAATTCGCAATTCTAAGAACGCTCTACAAGTAAATACACGCATAAACTTATTCAAGAGCATATTTATCGGGCCTTTGGACGCATTATATCCATTCTCATGCGTACGTTCACATACATGTATGTATGTCACACCAATGAGTGTACTATATCCATCCGTCTGTGCTTGTGAATGACTTTGTTTGCCTAGAACAACCCTGTATTGAGCTTAAAAGCGCGATGTAAACCCATTTTAGCTTTTGCGACTATTCCTAAGTATGTGCACCTACCTACCAACCTCGCTCACAGAAACGCGCCGATGAGAATTGGGCCAAATACAGCGGCGACGAGGTTGTAGACATGGAGGAACATCTGATGACGTATCCATTCAACGTAGCGAGAAATGGGAAAATAGCCATCATTCCTGGCCAGGAAGACTTCCCTGATACGAATGCCCGGGTGCATGGCAAATGCTCTGGTACTATGCCTGATATTTTGACCACTTAATAGATAATTATCGTAAAGGTTGTTTGATTTTTTATGGCTAATTTCCGAGAGTATGCTGTTCGATTTTTGATGGCTGGTTTCTGGGAGAATTTTGTTGATTTATTTATAGTGCTGGTTTCTGGGAGTATATTGCATGTATGCTCATTGTTATGTCATGCAAGTCTAGACGGGTGACCAGCATTCAGTACCACGAGGCAAGTAAGAGGCCTTGATGTTTTTCTATTGTGGTTGGGTCCTTGCCCATTGATGAGGCGAGTTGGCTCACTGCAATCTGAGGGACGAGCTGACGTGCAAATGTATGCTGCTGACTGGTGGCATTCCACTAAGTATCTAACAATGCATGGGATCGAGGTGAGTGGGCTCATTGCAATATGAGGGAAGGTCTGACGTGTGAATGTATACCGCTGACTGTTGAGATTCCATTACGTATCTAACAATGCAAAAGCAAGAGTGTGATGTATAACTATAAAAAAAACAGTTATTTCGTCTGTGTAGTCAGAAATTGGCTGCGTGATCAAGCGTAGCTAGAACGTCGAGTATCGCTTTACGGTGCGTTGGTTTTAGCGGGAGCTATCGAATAAAAATTCACTCTATTAAGTGCAACCATTACATATGAAATATAATAGCATACTCCGGGACTCAAATGGCTTAGCAATATGATATCAACCTGTGCATATAATCTACACAAGTAAATTCCCAGAGGGTGGAGTGTGTATTGAGCCGATTTGCTTGTTGACATATTTGGCTAAAGACTATCCAATGAAAATAAAATGCGTCCCAGTGTCACTTATATTGTTTCAAATCGCTATCGATTTAATAAACATCAGGTTTAAGGTTACGTGATGTAGTATATCTAAGGATGTTATTTTAACAATGTATTGCATGTACTCCTATGTAAATGAGGAGGAAGCAGTTTGAACCCAACTGCGAATACCTGCGACTGCTGTAATCAATAACTATATATTTGCATTACTATACGCTCGGAGGTGAGCACAGCTCGATAGCAAACTTTGTCTTTGTTTTAAATTGTTGTTACGTTGGACATAACAGTCTGCAAACTTTGTCTTTGTTTTAAATTGTTGTTACGTTGGACATATCAGTCTACTATCACAACTTATTGAGTTTACGATCTATTGGTAGTCAGTAACCAATGCTTCAATACTTGTCGGTGAAGCCAGTTGCCGCCAAAACGTTCACACACAGACCAATGAAATACCTTGACCTTTTACATCTAATATTTATTGGTCCACGAGCTGTTCAAAATGTTCAAATCGTCGAACCCACACGGTGTTATAATATCGAAATGTCTAATCTTTTCCGAATTATAGTTCAACAAGAATATCTCCTAATACCATAAATTACATATTCCACTACAAGGTTGAAAAGGTATTTTAGCAGAAATTATTACAGACAGAATGTAAGGTGGTTGTCTGAATGTGATAAGTGCAAAACATCAACAACGTACACAAGTTGCTGCACCTAAAATTTCTCCTACGCAAATGATTCCAGGCAATATCAGAGTTATACTGTTTCCAGTTAGAATTGATCTTTTGAAAATCAAACCATTGATATACGATGAGATGACCGATAGCGGAAGCTGTCAATCTATTAAAGTAATGCAAGTCGGAAGTATGTATCGCAAAGCAATACATATTTATAATACTTTGCCAATACAAGCCTAAGAAGAAATGGACTGAGGATACTATATATCAGATTGGTAAAACAGTTGTCAACAGCAGGTACAAATAAGGACTGTTGTAAAGAATTCATTTAGTTTGGATCCTTATTGTGTAAACAGACAAAGAATAGGCAAAAGGAAATTCAACACCTGAAATAGCCAAAACGTGTGATCAATAATAATAGTGTCAATGATCAGTTCAAATCTACAACGCAAGCTCTCTAAAGGCGTGTTTGACATTAAGGGATTGTAATTCATCGGTTCAAATCTATCAAAAGTGTGTATGAAATTCAAGTGCCATACCACGAGACGTTCAAAAGTGAGGTGATGATAAGCTGTTCGAATCCGAGTTGATCATTAGACAACAAAGAAAAAATAAGCAACACGGTGGTTGCGACAATACCTCTATGGAGGAGTAAATACTTCCAGTTTCATGGAGCTTGAGTATAAAGAAACAATAACTCCCAATCTGAGAAATAATAATATGATTGGCAGCTCCTCTTTTTGTTCTATTTATAAAGATAATGGCCTAGTATATCCTGAGATACTGAAAATAGAAGGTACATACACGAGATTTATTAACATTTAAATCCACCCAAAAGACTCGTACATATTTACTTGTTGCAAATATATTGTTTATCAGCATTCTGTTGTAGGAGCTTGGAATCACCGAGTCTCTCAACTGACTATATTTTTAAGTTCTCTAACCATGAAAACTAAAACTGCCTCGGTACATGGCGTTTGGTTATATATATATATATATACATCTCCAAATGCTTGCCACAGTATAAATCGGCGCGAAAGAATATGCTCCGAATCAGACCCGTCTTTTTCGTTCTGTTAACTGAAACGATTGGACATTCATTTATCCCGCTAGTCTGCGCAAAAACTGAAAATAGAAATTTACGTCGAACATTGGTCTGGTAATTCACCTATAGCAATGATATCGTTTGGTCGAATTTAATGTGAATTGCAAAACACTATAACTTGAGATTTGGTCTATGACCTGTTCCGCCGGATATACCCTCAGCTGATTATGGTTGTCACGAAGATAGTCAATTGTGGCCTTTGCTGCCTTAAAATGTATTATGATATAATCGGTTGACTGTTAGAAATGACGTCGACAACTCGCGTATCGGTCTGCACTGAAAAGAACTGATTAGAATAGGGCTTCAAGATCAACTAATTCTTCCTATGCCTGGCAAACATCAAGTGCACTCCTTGTCACTAAAATCGAAACACGAGTTCGTCCGTTGAGACGAAGTCTTCATTTAAAAAGTTATTTGCGAGGGTCCATCACAAATAAAAGACGAAAGCCTGAAGTGCCTCTATCCGATGCCAACGACGACAAGACCAATAGTTCGACTATACTTCTGAAAAGGAAGCCGAAGAAATATTCGGGACCAAAATAGTAGTGAGAACAAAAGCTTTTGTTGTGACTATAAAGGTGAACTGAAACAAAACTCGTACAGTGAGATCTTTCAAGCACAGTAGTAATTTCCCATCAGTTTCTATCGCTGTGTAGTAGCGTAGGTGCGAGACCTGCTTTTCAATTCAACTGGTCATGCAGCTGTTGTATAATCCCGGCAACCAAGTCAGTGAGTTGCCGGACGATGATATTAACACACTGGCAATACTGATTGTTTGTCATAGACTGAGGGTCGAAACGCTCTTAATCCTTGCACCGCTGACTGTACATTTTGATTACCAGCAACTCAGTGCCAACATGTTATTAACTCGCTTTTGCACGTGACCTGAGCTATATTGGTAAGTGCTTCCATGATTCGATACATAAAAACTTGTCTCGTGATGTTTGGCGAGACTTGCGATTTAAGCATCCCCCCTCATCCCCCCCCCCCCCCCCACTCGATTTATAGACAGGCGGGTTGGTTCTTATAGTGATGCTGCTCGACCACCTTTACGTCCCTTCAAGGACGGCCACATATATTGCATCAAATTCGCTTCTAATTGTCAAATTTATTCCTACAGTTTCTACAAATTATATTCGTACCACATTGCCGACAAACATAGGAACTTGTCGATCGCCATGGACAAAATTATTGATTTTCTATAGGGAGTAACCCTGTAGCAGTAAGTACAATGTACGGTATGCGGTATGGCCTCGAGTAATAAAACATATTCAACGCAACGCAAGTATAACAAGCAATCTAGAATTATTATTAGCTTGGACACATTGAAGTCGAGCACGGGAAAGGAAACGTTTCGAAAATTCCAACATATTTCGTAATGAAGAAGGATTCTATATATTTACGCTGTATGTGTATCTTCAACTTGCACACTTTTATAAGAACTGCTATTATCGCTCTGGATAGCCTTACAAAAAGATGCAAAACTTAAAACATTATTGTACATACATCAGTGAAGGTCACTTTTTGCACAACTCATTTGCGGTGGGCTAGAAGCAATCGTATGACCTGTATTTTAGAAACATATTATTTTTACTATATTCTTAGAGGTAATCACACGGTTTCACATATCGCGCATCTACAAGCTTGACCTCAATCAGGCTAGACGTTCTGAAACCCTTAAGGATGGTAATTTAAACAGATCAGATATAAGAGTATAACGTGTTATAACACAATTTCTAAATAGTTACATTGCTGATATATCTGTAATACGAGCCTAGACTACCGCAGTGCCCTCTGAAGCATAACTTTGAATGTTGGTGTATGTAATGTGATAGTAAACCTAAAACATCGGATGATCCATTAAAATTTTGCCTATTGCTCCGACTTCTAGATAGGATATATTCATGTTTAGCGTACTCGCAACATACCACATTCATGTTCATGCATATGCACAGCTTATGAGCAGGAAAGTGGTTAGGAAACTCGGGTAAATGTGAATCTGTTGTAACTTTAACATGAGATGGCGACTCCAGTGTTTTAAAGTGCTCCATTGAAGTCGGCATGGTTGTTGACAACAATCGATTTAGTGGTTAAAGTTAACCAGATGTTCCTAATCACACATGCTGCCTATTATTTAGATCATGTACACCCAATAGACAATAGCCCACCAAAGATTGACTATAAAGCGACAACCAACTGTATGAAATTTGATCCATACTTTCGCGAATCCAAAGCAAGGTTAGATTACTCTAAATGGAGCACAAAATGCTAGCCTGTTCTTAGAGAGTGACAGAAATATACAATATTCCATATCAATTATCTTAGGAAAATAGTTCATTCTGTACAATTCAGCGAGGTCAATATCTGATATCGCATAGTATAAAACCCTAAACCCTTAATGTATGCATACTGACTTTTTCGTGCAAAATTTGCTTAAATTTGAATTAAAGAGCCTTCGGCTATACGCACCTGATA